TAGAATCTCGGTATCATGGTAATACTGATGCAGGCAATGAGCGGAAAAGCAGCTCTACAACATCTGTCTTGGGGAGAATTTGAGAACAGTTGATGGTAAATCTCCAAATATTTGATAGTATTTCTTTTCTTTTTTTTTTTTTTTTAAAGATGACCGGTAAGGGGATCTTAACCCTTGGCTTGGTCTTGTCAGCACCACGCTCAGGCAGCGAGCCAACCGGCCATCCCTATATGGGATCCGAACCTGGGGCCTTGGTGTTATCAGCACCGCACTCTCCCGAGTGAGCCACGGGCCGGCCCGATAGTTATTTCTAATTAAAGTTTCTGGACATGATCTTTTCTTGGTATGTACTGGTTTTTCATTGTTAATACAATCACTTCACCTGTAGTAGGTGTATTATGATTATTTTTTTGACTCAGATTTTGCAGTTTGTTTCTAGGAATTTGTCCATTTCATGCACATTATCTACTATATTAACATGCCATTCTTCATATTATTCTTTCGTAAATAGTTTTATGTGTGAGGATGGTAGTAATGTCTCCTCTTTAATTTCTAAATTTAGTTANCTATTAACATAAAGGCCAATAATGCAATCCCTTTACTTCCCCTGTGAAAGTAAAGTTCTCTTCCCCAACGAGAAGAGGCCCAGGGATGATACCTAAGTGTTTCCACACTAGCCGTGTGTTGTAGCTTTACCTGTTCAAGTATACACTTCTACTGTTAAACTTATTTCTAAGAATTTTATTTTGATTCTATTGTAACTAGAATTGTTTCTTCAATTTTATATTTCTATTATTTATTTTTGTGTACGCAGTGATTTTTGTATATTGATCATGTATTTGTTACTTTTCAGAACTCTGTTTTTCATTAATTCCTTATGGTTTTCTACATAAGAACATGTCAACTGAAAATACAGAAAATCATACTTTCTTTCCGATCTAGATTCCTTTTATTTACTTGTCACCAGTTTTTCTGTCTAGTAAAATGATGAAAAGATGTGGTGAGAGTGGATCGTTTATCTTGCTCCTAATCTTAGAAAATAAGCATATGAACTTTCACCATTAAAAACAGTCTGAGCAGGGGGTTTTCACATGCTCTTCATCAGTTTGAGGATGTTCCCTTCTTTTCCTACTTTGTTGAATGTTTTCTTCATAGAAGGATGTTGGGCTTTGTCAAATTTGTCCATCTGTTGAAATGTCGTGTGGTTTTATTATTTTATTGATATAGTGTATCATAATATGTAATTTTTTCTGTTAACCAAACATGTAGTCCTGGGATATATGAAACATTGATGCAGGGTATAATTATTTTTATATGTTGCTTGATTCTATTTACTTTTCTGGTTTTACCTAATTTTGCAACAATAGTCATAAGATACATTCTTCTGAATTTTTCTTTGCTTGTAATGTCTTTGTAGAATCTCGGTATCATGGTAATACTGATGCAGGCAATGAGTGGAAAAGCAGCTCTATAACATCTGTCTTGGGGAGAATTTGGGAATAGTTGATGGTAAATCTCCAAATATTTTATAGTATTTCTAATTAAAGTTTCTGGACATGATCTTTTCTTGGTATGTAGTGGTTTTTCATTGTTAATACAATCACTTCACCTGTACTAGGTGTATTATGATTATTTATTTTTTTTGACTCAGATTTTGCAGTTTTTTTCTAGGAATTTGTCCATTTCGTGCACATTATCTACTATATTAACATGCCTTTCTTCATATTATTCTTTCATAAATAGTTTTATGTGTGAGGATGGTAGTAATGTCTCCTCTTTAATTTCTAAATTTAGTTATTTGTGTCTTCTGTATCTCTATCTCTCTCTGGTCTAGCTAAGGAGTTGTCAGTTTCTTTAATCTCTCATGATCTTCATTTTGGTGTTCTATTCTTTTTTTCTTTTCTCATTGTCTATTTCATTGATATCTCCTGCAACCTTGATTCATTTTTTCCTTCTGCTTACTTTACATTTCACTTGCTCTTCCTCTTTCAGTGTCTTCACATGTAAGTTTAGATTACTGACTTGAGATCATTCCTTTTTAATATAAATATCTACATCTATAGACTTTCCTCTAAGCTTCGCTTTAATTATCTTCCAAATTTTGTACATTGTATTTTCATTTTCAGTTATATTAGTATATTTTCTTTTTTTTTTTTGTCTTTTGTCTTTTTCCGTGTCCGGCAACGGATCACAACCCTCAGTGTTGCCCCCGTACCGGACCGGGGACCGGCA